ATAAAATAGGGTCTTCCATTACACAAACAGTATGTTTGCAACTCTCATTTGTTCCTGTCATGTACATTTGCTGCCTTTACCCCAAGAGTTTGAATCTTTTTCTGAGGAAAAAAAACAATCCATGTGCATGACCTGTAAAACACCTGGTGTGTTTTACTTGTACATGAGTTTGTTTATAGATAAAATATAGATATTATTTATTTCTGTCACTACAGAACTGGTACTGTGAAGTAAAGTCTCTGTTTTGTAGTCAAGCAAAGAAGAGAATTTAAGGAGGGTTTTCTTCAGCATTCATACTGCTGCAGCAATTTCTCTCTTAAAAGCATGAATATGTTTTTCTGCTGCTGATTTACTCTTCTTCAGTAAGCAAGCGAGTGAACTATTTTTAGGACATGGTATCCTTCACTTTCTATCCATCTGACTTTACTTTTGGAGAAAAGCCAGCAACTGGGGAAGAAAGGCACTCCTATACAAAAGCAAACTCATTTGGACATTATAGCATAATTGAAAGTGTCAGGCTGTATATCCTTACCAGAAGATAAGTTCTATGTGAGTCAGGAGGAGGACAGTGTTATAGTTTATTTCTACCCCTGAATCTGTAAGGAGGAGGAGATCTGCTACCCTCAAAGAGTTTCAAGGTATTGCATGTATATATCAAAACAAGGAAAAAAAACCTGGAAATATAGTGCTAATTTAAAACCTATAGCATTAGTTTTGCAGCATTGTCAATCCCTTTGTGCAGTGCACAGTGTTAGCTAGATACTTGATGATTCATTACTCTGACTTCTGGAATAATTCTAGGGGGATTTTTTTTTCTCTAATGTTATTAGGTAAATTGAGCACACCAAAACTATATCCTAAAGAATATTAAAAATGTCACCTATTTATGGTCAAAAAAAAAGGGAACTGTCAGATAGCTTGTTTGGTTTTATTTATTTTTAAGGCATTTCAAATCAGTAATTTTTGGTTTATATTATCTCAGATTCTTGCTTTCACTATTTCCTTTCAAACCACTGGCAGCATTGGTTATGTTAAACTGATCTTTTACACTACCACAGATCAATCTTCTTTCTCCTGTGCACTGTATGTTTATATGCTTCTTTGCAGTATGTTTTTTAGAAACAACTCATAAAAATTTTAATACAAATTGCTGAGACACACATCTGACACTTACCTACTAGATTCTTGCAGGCTTATTTCCTGCTCTCTTAGTCCTTTTTCAAATACAAAAAAAGAAAACCCTCAGCTTCACAAATCTGTTTGCTCACATATCATAATAAATGTTTTACTGCTCCGTCTCTATCCATGTTGTTTTGTTGCTCTAGAGAGGATGAGCATGCCCTTATCCAGCAGTATTGTCAGACGCTGGGAGGAGAGTCACCTGTGAGTCAACCACAGAGTCCTGCTCAGATACTCAAGTCAGTGGAAAAGGAAGAGCGAGGAGAGCTGGAGCGCATCATTGCTGACCTTGAGGAAGAGCAAAGGTCTCATAATCGTCCTACCTGGTGTCTGAATTGTCACAGCCATGCATGGGCTATGTGTAGTTGTTGGAGATGAGAAGAGATGGACCTAAGAGTCATGATTTTAGGGGAGGGGAAAAAAAAAAAATCAATCAAGGCACAGGTCATGCACAACCTGACTCTGTTAGATAGAAGAGGGTGGCTCTGGGATAAAATACCTTAGTTTCACCTCTACTCCATTGTTTTATGTTTTTTCCCCATAAACTACAAGTCAAGACATTGTCTTCATGCGAGCTACTTGTGTTCTGTAGTTGGAGGTGATAATAACATAATTTGATCTAAGGATGTCTTTTATTTTCACTTGCTTGATTAAGTCTCCTCATCTTTTCAATATACCAGGAGTCTACAGATAGAATATGAGCAATTAAAGGAGCAACATCTTCGGAGAGGAATAAACCCTCTCGCATCACCTCCTGAGTCCGTTGTGACACCTCATCATGCTTCTGAAGATGCCGAGCTCATTGCTGAAGCTAAACTCCTGAGGCAACATAAAGGTCGCCTAGAAGCAAGGATGCAAATATTGGAAGATCACAATAAACAACTGGAGTCTCAGCTTCACCGGCTACGTCAGCTACTTGAGCAGGTAGATGTACACTGATGTCTTACCCCCATGTTGTTTCTCCATGATAGATTTCTGGTGGAACAGAGGCGTTGGAATTCTACTGCAGATATTTTCACGACACTACCTTGGTCTGTTGCACTCGGTCATTTCTAGGATGAAAAGGTATTTTTTTCCTACCCTCTAGTATAAGCCATGGTGAAAGTCAGATGAGTACAAGATGATTACAAGTGCTGGAGTGATCGTGGTAACTTGTGAAACATCGAGAATAACACAAACGAGCACTAGTTTTTATTAATTAAAAAACTGGGTGAAGAAAATACATACCCTATTCCAAGTAGCAGTGACAGTCGCGCCCTGTATTTGACTTCAGTTTTCCAATCTTTCTGTAAGTAATTTGATTATTTGTTGTCGTGGCTAGTCACTGAAACTTTTCTTAGCATGCCAAAGACAGATGGACAAAGATACATCTAAAATGTAAAGGAGCAATTAATTCCATTAAAAATCCAATTCACCTTGAGCAGCATTTTTATATCAATAAGCTACAGCAAAACGGTCTGCACAAAGGTAACGCTGAAGGCAAGAG